TTTACCTTGAAGGCTGGGTCCCATCCAGGCACTGTGCTAAGGAGAAAAGACAAGGCAAATCTTTATAAGGTCTGATTTCATGAGCAAGGTGGAACCTGGGATCCGTTATGCAGTAGCTTCAGTTCCACCTACTCAGAGCAGCAAAAGACCACACTAGCATTAAATCTCTCTTATTCCATTTTTGCACATAAAATTTTATTGAAACACAACTACAGAGAACCTATCTACACTTTACTGCATCAGCAGGGCTCAAGAGTCACAACAAAGACTGTATAGTCCACAAAGCCCAAAGCATTTCAGCCTGACCCTTTAAAGAAAAGTTTGGGGATCCTCAGCCTGGTCCAAGACTCTGAGTTCTAGTTCCTGGCACATAGTTTTCCCCCTACACCTTAAACTCTGATAAGACCTTTTATCTACTCTCTCATCTGAAATTTTCACAATTTGCCTGCCACTGACCTCTCTCCAGATCCTAACCTTAAACCAACAGTATCTATGGAAAGTTCTATTTCAACCCTAGTAAATTCTAGTTCCCCCAAAACCCTCTAAATGAAACATTCCAGTGATGGACACATCTCGAGACCCCCATACCAGTTTCTCCCCACACAAACTCCCACACCTCAAATATTCTTACCAGTCTAATTTAGAACCAAGTTCATGAGACACCCTTTCACCCCCACCTGTCCTAAGAAAAGGCACAACCTTTTAGGCCAGGTGAGCTACCACCACCATCTACCAAACATTAAAGTACACACAAATGACCTGAAGACCTTGTTAAAATGCAGATTCTAATTCAGTTGGTCTGGGAATCTGAGAGTCTTCAATTCTAAAAACCCCTAAGCAATCCCGGAACCTCTCTCTAAGTAGACACACTTCCACTATTGGCTCACCATTGAGGCACAGCGTTCCTGAATACCAAAGGCTATTTAGTAATTGATAATGACCTATTTTACTTAGAAGGAAGAAAATACCAAGACTATTCCCACACAAACCCCCTTTACATTTTATGCCCAGTTTCTGCATACAGTTGCAAAATTCTGTAATTGGAAGAGCACTTGCCTACCATGCATGAGGTCCTAGGTTTGATACCCAGCAGGGGAAAAACAAACAGAAAACAAAAGAAACCTATAACTGGTTTTAGAGTGCCTAAAGTCTAAGAAGACCAACAATTAGATGAACAAAAGATATTAATGGAACACAAACAGTAAAAAATACAAATGGCTCCTGAAACATATGGGAAGATGCTCAACCTTACTCATTTAGAAAAATGCAAATTAAAATAACATTTACTTTTCACTTACCAGACTTGCAAAGACCAATAAAACTTGTAATCAAAGTATACAAAAGAAACAGACTCAATTTTTTTGGGGGGTGGGGAGGGGTGGTGGCGGCAATATCTGTCAAATTTTAAATGCCCATTATCTTTGACCCTGAAATTCTATGTCAAAGACTTAACCTACAGCTATTCTTGCATGTTTATAAAATGATGTATTCACTGCATCACTGAGCACAAAAGATTGAAAACCTAAATGCCCACTTATAGAGAAGCAGGGTAAGAACTGGCATATTCCTACAATGGCATATTTTTGTAACTAAAAGAAGAATGAAGTGGCTCTATCTATATTGATATAGAATAGCAGTCATGATAGATTTTAAAAACTGAGATGCACTATATGATACACCATTTTTACAGAAATTTTTTAATGTTGCATATGCTTATAAATAAACACATACATTACTTATGGTAGAACAGACAAAAACTTGGTAATGTTGGTTGCTGAGGGAACAAATGTTAAACAGAGATGAGGGGCATTTACTTTTCACTATATATCTTTTCATACATTTTTATGCGCATGTATTATCTATTTTTAAAAAAATAATTATTTTGTAAAGTAGAGAAAACAGATAAGGTACCAACAAAGCTTGAAAGCACAAAATTTTCCCCTACTATTGTCTTGTCCTGTAATAATTATAAACTCACTTTCATCTATATTTAGAAAAAACTTTGACAAATCTCATTTTAAGTGAAAAGACTATCATGTAGTAAGAAGAAAAGGGTATTATCTTTCTGCTAATCTTTATTACTAAATTTGTTCCATTTCTTTATTAGATGTAAAACCTTTTAGATTAAAAGAAGATAATTACTTATGTATCAAATTGATGCACAGGCTGAGTCTGCTGAATGGAATTTGAAAAAAAAATTCTCTCCTGAGGATAATGTTGGTATTAGGGAATAGGATACCCTTCTTTCTAAAATTTCCTGACAGATTTGCCTCCTTCATGTTTAGCATGTTCAGAAAGCAGTAAAGTGCACAGAACCAGGTCTAGACTGACTCTAGCTATAAGCATCTTTCTGTATTGTTACTTATCACCCATAACAACAAAGGATCTTTATAAAGACTCGGTTCCATTGTTTCAGCTGCTACAAATTTATTTAGAGAAACTAAGCACTGAATCTGAAAGTCTCAAAATGGATGTCTAACCATTCAATCCAGCTTTCTGTAAGCTTCCACTACCTGTGGCTGTAAATGGAAGTAGGTTCTATTTACTTTTCTATTAAAATTGGCTCCTCTGTGCCATTAGCATGCAAACACATTTAAAGTCAAAGCTTACCAGTGGAGATTATGGTACGAGCAAATAGACAAGGAATAAAATTGTTTTTGTTTTTTACTTCCAGATACAATTCCTGTGTTTAATACAATCATATTTGTAATGCTGTTTTTGTCATTAAGTCTACTTATTGTGGGGGTGGGCAGCACAGGGATTTGAACTCAGGGCTTCCCACTTGCTAGGCAAGCTCTCTCACTTTAGCTATACCTTCAGTTAATTCTACTTATCTCATTCTCCTGTACCTCTTAGGTGTAATACCACTTGGCAGAATATTGAAGGAAATTTAAACAACAGCTAGTTAAGCTAAATGATCTCTTAATAAGCCCCTTAGGTTTCATGACTTAAAAAAAAAAAACTACAAAAATCCCTTAAGAGGAAGAACTGAGTCCAAAATATTCTAAGCCAGGAGTTGGCAAAGGTTTCCATAAAGGGCCAAGAAGTAAATAGTTTCAGTTTTGTAGAACACTGGTCAACAGCAACTTCTTAACTCTGATATTACAGCACAAAAGCAGCTGCTGTAGTTTGAAAATGGTTTGTCCCCACCAAAACTCAGGCAGCAGTTTAATCCCCATAGTGAGTTACAAAGAAAGGGGAAACCTGAATTTATTATGTTTAGAAGTAGGGGTCTTTGGGAGGTCATTAGAATAGAGCTTCATGACTGAATGTTATGAGAAGCAGCAAAGGATATGGTATACACATACACTTTCTGTCTCTTGCCGTGTGTAAAGTTCTATACTGCACCACCTTGGAACTCTGCCAACAAGGAGGCCATCACCAGATGCAGTCCCTTGAACCTCCAGAACCTAAATAAACTTTTTTCTTTATGAGTGACCCAGCCTTAGGTATTTCACTATAATAACATGAAATGGACTAACAAACAAATGGATGCGGCTATATTCCAACAACTTTACAAAACAGGAATCCAGTTTGTAGGCCAGTTTGCCAACCCTGTTCCTAAAAATGGTCTCCGATATTTCACATTCAGTAAGTGAGAAAAGCATTGATGGAAAAGGAATTGTCTAAAACAAAAAACATTGTCTGTGATTTCACTACTACTATCCTTATAAAACAAAATACAAAGAAAGAACTGCATGGGCCAACAATAGCAATGACTGGAGTTAGGGAGTTGAAAAAGTCAGAGAATTGACAGCAAAGATGAGACAAGCAAGGATTTTTCTATAGGTTTTACAGGCAGCATCACCCCGATGTCATTTCATACTTCTAGTATCTAGAGCCTTGAGACAAAAAATTTCTTTTGTCTCAAGCAAATCTGTAGAAACTTTGTTACAGCCATTCTAAGAAAACTAATACAAGACCATATCATAGCGACTACAATTAAGGCACAAAGCAAAAGGCCTCCAAAAGATGATGAATATGCTTTCACATTACAAAAATTATTAAATGGAATGGCTTTTCAAGTGAGTACAGGAAGAAACAGTAGAAAAAAGTTTTATATATCAAAGATGAAAGATTAAAAGAAGATAATGATTCAGTTTTCAGAACAAATCATTGGGAGGTATATGTACATATATGATTGAACACTTCTATGTTGCCAAATCTCAGTATTGGTAGCAGATTCAGGAAAAGTAGTTTTCTGGTTATCTCTCACTCTGCAACAAAATCACTCTAAACTTAAATTTCTAGCTCTTGAATTTAAGAGTCTTTTTGCCTCTCTCAAGATAGAGTACTTTGGCCTTCCTTATAGGATGGTAACCACAGGCTAGTCAGACTGCTTACAAAGCTAACATAGCTTAAACAGCAGAATTCTAGTTAGCTAGGTAGAAGCTCTCTTACCTTTTCTCACCTAGTCTTAGAAGTTTTATTAGTACAACTTTTGCCACATTCAGCTGACTACAAGTGATTAATTTGAAGGCAGCCCAAATTTAAGAATACGTTAATCCCCACCTCAGGATGGGTGAACTCCTGATGGCTTTTAAATGTTAGATCTGTGCCCACAAGTTGGGGTTCTGGCTCTGATATTCCCTTGAGCAACTGGTTCATTATTTTTTTGCAATTCAGTGTGTAAGAAAAAGAAATGAAGGCAGAACCCTAATACCTTTGAGTTGTGACAGCCAGTGTTCACATGCTCTGCATACCTCCATCACTGACCTTTAAACCTTTAAAATTGAAGTTTTAAGGCTGGGGATGTAGTTGAGCTCAGTGGTAGAGCTCCTGCTTAGTATGCATGAGGCCCTGGGCTCAAGGCCCTGGTTTTGAGCCCCAGCAGCACAAAAATAAGCAAAAGAACCTGCAGCTCTTGCCAGTGATTTATCTGTTACCGTAAATCTAAAATTAAGCACTCTCTCACAATGCAAACTAACCCTGGTTTCCCCAAAATCAAGAAGATCCTGGGTTCAAGGCACAAAAAGCAGTCTCAGTCAAGTGGGACTTACTTAACAATCTTCAGGGTTCTGTGAGGAAAACAGGGCACTTCAAAGGAATCAGCAATACTTCTCCTGTGTTCCTCAAGGTGTCTCAGGAGTAATCAGCAGTCTTCGGATACCTTTTTCACCAAATCTGTCAAATGACAAAGTTATAATTTAGTCTAAAATTTTAATTGGCTTTATTTTTCATTCTATAATTGAGCAACAAAAAGTGTTCCAATGAGCTAAACAGAAGATGAGCTGTGTTTTTTGTTTTCTCTTGAGAGAAGGTCTGGCAATACAGTACAAGCTGTCAAATTCAAGAGCTTTCTGCCTTGGCCTCAAGAGTGCTGGGCATGTGCCACAATGCCCAGCTTAAGAAGTTTTTGCTTTAGTGGTACTAGAGTTTGAACTCAGAGCCTTGCACTTGTTAGGCAGGTGTTTTACCACTTGAACAACACCCTCAGTTGCTTTTAGTTATTGTTTACTTTTTATTCAGGGCCAGCTCAGATCTGATCTTCCCTCCTATGCTTCCTTCACATTTGGGATTACAAGCACAAGCCACTATGCCTAGCTTATTTTTGAGATGGGGTCTTGCTAACTTTTTGCCTGAGCTGGTCTCAAACTAAAATCCTCCCAATCTCCGACTCCCGAGTAGCTGGAATTATAGGCTTGCACAACACCTGGCCCAAGAGTTTAGTTTCATGGGCAGAAAAAAAAAAGATAAAAGATAAAGCAGAAACAAACAAAAAACCAAGGACAGAACTGGTGATGTTAATAAAGTTATTTTCCTATAAAGTTGGGGAAAGTAAACAGAACAGAAAAATAACTAATTGGCTAGCATTAGGTTATTTAAGGGTTTGGGGATATGGCTTCAGAGATAGAGTGCTGGCCTAATGTGCATGTGCCTCTGGGTTCAATCCCCAGCATCAAAAAAACAGGTTATTTAAGGTTACCTTGCTTGGATTAAGGCAGAGAAAATTGTGTTGTCATACCCAATGGAACTAGCCTATGTGGAAGATATGGCCATTATTGCTCTAATCCTGATTTTTGCACAAACAGCTCAGTTTCAGCTTGGTGATGTGGAACTTTACGTGAATGACTCCATTTTGATTTTCAGCTTGGTCTGTCAGGGCCCAATATAGGACTTTACCAAACAGTGGCCTTCTATAATTTTTTTAACTAACAAAAGTAGTGTACAGCAAAGAGTTATTCCTAAGTTATTTTTTTATCCACACAAAACTTTTAAAAACATGGTGCCATAAATCTCATACTTTTCAACATTTTACTTACCAGATAACCTCATTTATTGAATAGCATCATTTTCCCATGTTTAATTAACAGCGAACTTTAACCAAGTTGCTACTTGGCATTGATATCTTTATAGCCAAAAGCAGGAAAATTAATTCATTTCAGTTAGACTATGAAGAAGCCTCTAGACAAGTATAAGTTAAGATTTCCTTCTAAACTCAACTGGAGACATCCTGGGAACCAAAGGTCTAGTTACTGTCTTTTCTACTATATTCTGGTAACTACATAATCATTTTTACTAATGACAAAATTGTACATATTTATCATGTGCAGCATGTTTTGAAAATGTATTGAGGACTTTTTATATAGTGTTTTGATTAAGGCAACATAAAACTTCCTCTGAAAGTAAGCTATAAGCAACAAATAAACCAAATGCAAACTCAAAAGTGTATAAAATATTTACTGTAGTGAAGTTGTAAGAATAGCGGACTCTTTTTTCAAAAATTAAGGCTTATCAGGCATTTTTCCACAAACAAAAGAATAACTAACATCTTGGTTAACATTTCTTTTTTCAATAAAAGATGCTAGTGTCCAACTCTGTTGTAAGCACCCATTGAAACAGATATAATGGCCACTCTGTTTGGCTACACAGGCCACCAGTGATAGAGCAGTATCTGACCGTGTCCTATTTTCCGCAGTGTCCAAGGTATTTCTTCTTAGTAAGGAATCTCAACAGGTTCCTTAGTTCTTAGGCCACATCATCACTTATTTTATACACTACTGTTGTACCACAGCATGGCACTTTCACAAGAACTAAAATGCCTTTAGTGTATTATCCTAGAAAAGGTTAGATGTTGATACCCTGTCTCAAAAAAAAAAAAAAAACACCTTCTACTTCTTTACTCCATTACAGATGAAATGTCAATTCTACACCATTAAAATTATATGCTTACCAAGGAATTTTAATTTTTCAATAATATCAACTTTTCTTTGTTCTGGTTTCTAAGCTCAAAGCCTGTATTAGTAATTTCTCTGCTAAGAAGCCTATAGAAAAGGGTCTTTTCTTCTTTACATGTAACATGGTAATCAAGAATAAACAGGAAGAAATATCCAAAACAGTCCTAGCCATCAGTGAAGTTACTGAGATTGGGTGTGAGTGCGTGCAGAAGGGAATCATTCTTAGAAAAACATCCCACTCCATTCTAGAAGGAAGATAGCTTTTCTAAAAAAGAATGTATTTCCTATAAGTCATGATTCCTTTGTTAGGTAAACTACTGTACTACACTTGCTCCATACCATAATAAAAATGTTTTCATATGAAGATGAGTTTTTATCCTAGTATTTTCAGACTCAGAAGTAAAACACAGTGCTCAATATACAAAACTATGCTAATATTTTAAAAGCATTGCCAAAGATAATTTTTCAAACTGCCAACATAGTAAAGGAAATTGAAATATCCTGTTTTGCTTAAAAATTCATGAGGTATATGCTGTCTATAATGTATCTCAGGATTAACATAAAAATATTCAAATTATTCAGTAAACTGATGTTATAGGAAAATGTACCCTGTGTGCCCTGAATACTACATGTAGACTATATACAGGTTTATCCAAAAATAGACTCAAGCAAATTACTAATTGTGTATCTTGTGTGGTCCAATTAAAAATCTATCAAATCTTATTCGCCAAAAGTAGTCTTTCAAACAAGATGGTAGAACCGGGTATTTTGTGGACTATAAAAGCAGTTAATCACTCAGTCTGATTGTAGAGCAAAAGAGTTTCAATCCTTAAAAGAACTAAAGTACTCTGAAGCTGCTTCCTGCTTCATAGGTATGCTGTATTTTCTACTTCTTTTGTGTCACTTTCTTCCAGTACCTTCTGAATCTGTTTTCAAGACTGAACCTAAAAACAAGCTTCAGTCCTCCAAGGAAGATTTTTTTGTAAATGGGTCTGGGAAACTGCATGCCTCAGCCCAATCAGATTATCTAAGTACATTAGCATATCAAATACTACAAAATGTCCTGAAGTATAAATAAATTCAGTCTACCCTTCACTAAGGAAACAACACTCATAAAAAGCTTAAGAACACCGTATCAGCCTCCTAAGATACTAGCTTTCTAAAAATGGGTCAAACCTAATGATTTAGAAAGCATGACCTTCCTTTGATCCATAAGCCTATTTATAAATAAACTACTAAGCTAGTTATCAAGAACTGCAAAAATGAACACTATTAGAATGCAAAGACTTCAATTTATACTCAACTACTAAAGTTGGTTACTGAAACCAACAATGCTGCAAAAGCTTCTTCCACACATTCACACTGAAGAAAACATGTAATTTCTCCCCTAAGAACTGGGGCGGAACAGGGCGTCCCACTTGAGCCACACCCTGAATCATTTTGCTTTTTAATTTTCAGATAGGGGCTTGCGTTTTTACCTGAGCTAGTCCACAATCCTCCTACAAGTAGCTGGGATTATAGATGTATGCTACAACATATAGCTTGCTTTCTGTGATGGGATCTTGCCAACTTTTTGTCTGAGTAAGCCTGGGACCACAATCCTATCTCTGCTTCCTGAGAGTAGTTGGGCACTTACTTCCACATCCAGCCCTATAATTGTAGTATTTAAAAGAGACACTATCAGTTAAGCTGTGTTGTCTTTAGCTAGTCATTGTTTTCAACTATCAGTATTCTTGCTTTTTAATTAAAAACTACCATTAGTTTGGCCTCATCATTATGAATTTAGTTTTGGTTGTATTATTAGACCTCCAAAGATTGTACTGTACAATTGCATCACTAGTTTTCTAACTGGTCTAGACTCTAAGATAATTACATTTTTGTGATTCAATTAGGAACCATCTATATCCCTATGAAAATCTGTCCCCAAAATATATTTTATCTTGATAACTGTTATTATTCCACTAGAAAAGTAGAAATTATTTAGCTAAAGGATGATCCAAGTAAAGGGTTAAGAGTTTAAAAAGCTCAAGGGTCACTTTTCTAAAGGGTCCTTCCTAAGGACAGGGTCACTAATACATGCACAAGACTTCTCCATGACCACACCAACCAAATGTGGTAGTTCTCAGAATCGGTATCTGCTGTAAGTAGTAATAACTTTTTTGAACTTGGATGTCAATGATCCCTCCAGCCTCAAGTTTTGAGTGAGAAGGAATAGTTTCTAGGAATGTCTTTAAAGAACTAAATCCTGCAACAAACCCTCTTCTCCAAAATCTCTTCTTAGTTTCTTTAAAACTTGCCAGGTTCATAGAAAAATCATTCAATTAAATGCTATCAAGCAGGTTATCACCTCATAAAGGTAAAAACTCATAAGGGGATTGAGTGTCTGGTGAAGTGTCTGAATTTCAATGTTTCAGCTGCAGCACTAAAGTAAGATCCTAAGAGATCTACCCCAATAGACTTGTAACCATGTGTTATTACACCAAGGATGGGATTAAAATAAGTTTGGCAAAGTAAAAGCATTAGAGTAAAAAAATTCAGGAAATTCATAATTTATCAAAGTCACAATGCTAAAAACCTTAATGCTAAGATACTTCCTTCTGTGGACAGTGTGATCCAGAATGAAAAGATAGTAAAAAGTTTAAAAAGCCCAAAAGACTAACAAAATTCCGATGAATGACTACACCAGACCTAAAGCAAGTCAATGAACCTCTGTGGTAACTTACTAAATTCATTGAAGAGGAGGTCAGAAAACTGTTAAATCTTCTGGCTCTTAAAGTCTATACTTCTACTTACATTAGATACTTAGGGAATTATTAACTTCAATAGGTTATAAAGGTTATCAGTTTAGACCAATTCACCTCATATTTGCCATCTTTAATTTATGCACTGTTCTGCAAATGTCCCATTACCAGTTAATTCACCTGGTTCTTATCTCCTGAGGATTCT